ATTATCCTCACACCCCGAACGTAAGAAACCCAAGCCGGAAAGCCTTTCAAGAAGCTGTCAGCCCTTCAGGAACCCAACACCCCCGAAGCCCTGCAAGAACCCGAAAAAAGCCGCCCTAAAATTCCGAACCCTTAAACCCGGACCCTAAGCCTTAAACCCTAAACCCTAAACACTAAACCCCGAACCCCTAAGCCCGGACAGACCCGAAGCACCCCTGAATCCTAAGCCCGAAATCCTTATGGATCGGTGGAGCAGTCCGGGCCAGACTAGAGGCCATTAGGGTTCAAAAGTTTAGGGTTTAGGGTTAGGGGTTTAGGGGTTTAGGGGTTTAGGGCTTTAGGGGTTTAGGGTTATTGGTTATTGGGGTCTAGGGTTTAGGGTTTAGGGTTTAGGGGTTTAGGGGTTTAGGGTTGTTGGTTATTGGGCTTTAGGGTTTGGGGTTTAGGGTTTAGGGTTTAGGGGTTAGGGTCAGCACAGAACAGCCCGGAACAAGCATCGCTGCTGGCAAGCCTCGCAAGGCCCCGATCTACAAACATGTCGTTGCCCTCGCAGGAACCCTTAAAGGCCGTTCTAAGCTCGGAACCCCTTTAGATCGTAAAAAACCTAGACCTTGCAGCATCTCTTAAATGAGGAATATATATATATATATATATATTTGCCGGGGGGAGTGGAAGAGAAGCGGGCCTTAATAATTGGAATAGGGCTTTGGGGTTATATCAAAGTATAAAATACCCCCGAAGCCTATTCTAACTATTAAGGCCCCTATATTAGGGGCCATTGGCCGGGTGAGGTGGCGATGCTCGCCATCAAGACCAAGGCTGCCCGTGTCGCCCACCTGAAGCGGTTTCTCCAGTCGGTGAGCCTTGTGCAGCGGACCGAGCGACTGCACGAGTTCATAATTGGAGCAGTTGCTGGGCTCCACTTCCGGGATGACCCTAAACCCTAAACCCTAAACCCTAAACCCTAAACCCTAAACCCAAAACCCAAAACCCTAAACGACACCACCAACGAGGAGCGCAGGGCCTTCCAGGCCTTTGTGGGTGGCTTTGCAGCCCGGATTATGGATGGCACCGTGTCCCGCGACAATCTGGAGCTTGCCTCGAAAGTCGCATCCGGGGCATTGTCGGGGCACAAGGCGGTGAACTGCCTCCTGCAGTCGTTCCTCCTGAAGCAGGAGAAGCTCAGCCGAGGACTGAGCCGGGTCAATCGTTCGATTGACTGTGACACTCTCCAGGAGATCTACTGCAGCCTCGGCAAGACCAAGGAGACGTCGAACTTGCTGGGCTTCTTCGGCGTCACGGATCGCAAGTCCAAGATCGACTTGCGGATGCCTGGCGTGCCGCAGCTCTGGCTTTCGCACTCCGATCCGCAGCTCCTGGTGGCACCGGCAGCGAACACCAGAATGCCTCAACTCCACTTGTGGCCTTCAGCGGCTATCGACAGGCGTTCACCTTTTCAGTCATTGAAGTGTAAACCCTAAACCCTAAACCGCTTTGGGTTCAGGTTTAGGGTTTAGCGCTTAGGGCTTACTTAGATTTGGGTTCCCCTCTACCAGGTCTTAAGAAACCCTAAAACCCTAAACCCTAGACCCTGAAACCCTACAGCCCTAAACCCTAAACCTTAAAGCTTCAACCCTAAACCCTGAACCCTCCCCCAGGCCTTGGCTCACGTCTGCGCAGCGCTTGGGTGGCCGACGCCGCTTCATTGGAGTGGCAGGCGCGAACCAGGGTTTCCGGATTTAGGGTTAGGGTTTGGGGTTCAGGGTTTTAGGGTTTAGGGGCTTGGGTTTGGGATTTGGGGTCTGGGGTTTTTGGGTTTAGGGTTTACGATTTAGGGTGCAATTAGGGATCTGCGGTTTAGGGTTTATAGAGTCATAAACATTCTGAGACCTTTGTAGCTTCTTTTACATGAAGTCTTCGAAAATTCATATGGGGGTTTCCGAACATAGGGAACCCGAATACAGTACCCTACATAGCAGGACCCTTATTACAAGGACCCCGAAATAAGGTACCCTACTTTCGGAAACTCCCATGTTACTGCATGACCGATCCATGGTTGGTTTGCCAAACCGAATTGGTGGACACTAATTCTGACATTCAAGGCAGTGGGGCTTTGGGTTTATGTAGGGTTTAGGATATAGCTTTTAGGGTTTAGTGTTTATGGTCCCTAAACCCTCAACCCTAAACCCTAAACCCTAAACCCTAAACCCTAAACCCCTAATTATGGTGTAGGGTATAGGGTTTAGGGTTTGTGTTTGTGGTTCAGTCCTGAGGTGTTTCTTCGTTCCGGGGTCTCGAGTTCAAGTTCAGGCAGTTGCCATCCATCCTAAACCCTCAACTACAACATCTATGACCACTACCTGTGGCCCAAAAGACCTACCTTTTTAAGGAACATTATATAGAATCCATAATCAGGAGCCCTAAAAAGGTAGGTGTTTTCGGCTACAGGTAAGCCTTATACTCCAGAGGTCTCCAGGCCCTGAAACCTTGAAACCCACGTAAACCCTAGCTAGCAAACCCTAACCCTCAACGCCTTCCAGGTCTTGACGGCCAAGTTTCAAGATTGGCTGGATTCTGCCGCTTTGCAGGGATGGCAGGGTTTTAGGGTTTGGGCTTTAGGGCTTTAGGGTTTTAGTGTTTTAGGGTTTAGGTTTTAGGGTTTTTAGGGTTCAGGGTTTTACGGTTTGGGGGTTCAGGGCCACTTTGCAGGGATGGCTCGTTATTGGGTTTTGTGCTCCCAAAAACCATGTCTAAAGTGGTATTCTGGCGCCTGATTCCACTTTGGTGGTTTCGTTGGATCATTTGGGGAAGTGTTGATGGAATTTGGCGAGGGAAATTCAGCCCTAAACCCTAAGCCCCTAAACCCCTAAACCCTAGAGCCCTAAACCCCTAAGCCCCTAAGCCCAAAAGCCCCAAACCCTAAGCCCTAAGCCCTAAACCCTAAACCCTAAGCCCCTAAGCCCTAAATCCTAAGCCCAGCCCCTAAACCCTAAGCCCTAAGCCCCTAAACCCTAAGCCCTTAACCCTAAGCCCTAAACCCTAAACCCTAAGCCCCTAAAGTCTAAACCCTAAAACCCTAAGCCCTAAACCCTAAGCCCCTAAACCACTCAAGTCTGTCGGGGCAGCTGAAGATTTGTAAGCCCTCCAGTTGCAACTCTCGCGCCTCAGGCCCACAGTCCGAGATCCCGAAAGTTTAGGTTTTAGGTTTTAGGCTCCAGGGTTTTAGGGTTTTAGGGCTTTGGTGCTTTAGGGTTTTAGGGATTAGGGTTTTAGGGTTTAGGCTTTATTTTAGGGCTTTAGGCTTTTAGGCTTTTAGGGTTTTAGGGTTCAGGGTTTTGGGGTTTTAGGGTTTTAGGGCTTCAGGGTTCAGGGTTTTAGGGTTTAGGTTTTAGGGTTTTTAGGGCTTTAGGGTTCAGGGTTTTAGGGTTTAGGTTTTAGGGTTTTAGGGCTGTAGGGCTGTAGGGTTCAGGGTTTGGGGTTTTAGGGTTTGGGTTTAGGTTTTGGGGGTCTTAGGGTTCAGGGCTTTAGGTAGGGTTTTAGGGTTTAGAGTTTAGGGTTTTTAACGTTTAGGGCTTGGACCTTGCAACCCCAATACTTGGTTGGTTCTGGCTCTAAGGACTGCAGTTTTTGGGTTTCTATATGAGCTATAATAAGTAGGTCGCAGTTTAACCTTTAGGATGGGTTCAGAAGTCAGCCAAGAATGTAATCGGATTCATATAAAGAGCCCTGACGACCTACATAGGGCTACCTAACTAGGTTCCGACAGCAAGGAATCATGCTATACGGATTCTTCCATGCCCTACGTCCACTTCGTTATCTCGATTCGAGACTTGCCTTTGTGGGGGTGCGGCTGCTGCGAAGGCCTCGTCCACGTCCACTTTGCATCTCAGGTCGCGGCAAACGGAATGCGACGCTCTAGCTGCGGGTCCCCTGCAGACCCCTGGGCGAACTGGAGTGCAAATCGCCTACGCGGCGAAAGCGCTTTGCCTTTAAGGATGGTGTCACGTACTTACGAAACAGCACACTGATCCCGTCGTGACTGCAGATATGTTCTGCGCGTACTCTCATGCTAACGAGAACAGTACGTACCAAGGTGTCAAGATAAAGCTCCGGGTCATTGACGACGCAAATCAGTCGGGACTGAACGAGGCGTTCCAGAGAACATGCGCTGCGACATTGATGGATCTGGACGCCCTTACTTGCCTCTTGGCCACATTGGCGAAAGCTATGGTGGATGGCACTTATCAATGGGCTGCGGTAAACGAGCAAGTGCTCTCGGGAACTTGGCTAGGCAGGACTCTCGATTTGTCGAGAGCGTACAAGCAATAAGCGAAAACCCTAACCCTCTGCCTGAACATCCTCACACATAACACAACTGAGTTCAAAGACTTTGAGGGCTTGCAAACACCAAACACAACCGCGACATTAGTCAATGAGACTGCTTCAACATTGGACGAGCCCAAAGCGGGATTTACTTTTCCTCCCGAAAACCGACATCCTCGCCGCGTCTTTGTTGTGTCTTGGGAGTGTTCCCTAAAGGAGCCCTTAAAAGCGCCTCAATAGATCCCTAAAATGGAGCCTTTAGGGGGTTCTTCACAAGTTCAGAGAAAGACAGAAGCAAGGACCAGCTAAACACAAAGCCCCACGGTGTAGGGTTTAGGGTTTAGGGTTGGGGGGTTAGGATTTAGGTTTTAGGGTTTTGGAGCTTCAGGGAACCCTTTAAAAGGAGCCCAAGCTATTCAGACCCCTAAACCCACGAGCCTAAACCTAACAAGCCCGAGACTTATCATAGGCCCCTTCAACAGAACCCTTCCGGGATTTCTTTAAGGAGCCCAGCTCTAGTTACTCTCGTTATTCTAAACCCTAAACCCTTAACCCTAAACCCTTTACCCGTTAACCCTTAACCCTAAACCCTAAACCGCTCAACCCTTTAACCCTTAACCCTAAGCCCTTCGGGCCCGCCCAAGCTTACAAAGCCCTTAGGTTGACCACGTCGAGTTGATGCTCGACCTCTCCACTGGCTCCGAAGGAGCCTGTGTTTAGGGCTTTAGAGACTAGGGTTTAGGTTCAGGGCTTTCGGACTTTGGGTTTAGGCTTTTAGGGCTTAGAGGCTTTGAGTTTAGTGAGTACCCCTACGTTTTGATATGCTGTGTAGCGGGTCCAAGTACTGGGTTTTGCGTCCCAAACTCCGAACGGTTTCAGGTATTTAGGGTTTAGGGTTTAGGTAAGTTGTGATTTAGGGGTCCTTAGAATCGGGATACTACTCTTTCGACTTGTCTAGGGCTTGGTAGGAGATGTGCCGCACGTCGTCCGTTCGTGGGACAGATGTGCGGACGTATGACATGACGGTGACGGACGGCCGTTGCTTGGCTACGGTGTGTTTGTGGCGGCACAAAGCGGACCAGTACTGGCGCGAGTTGGCCAACGCCGAGATGCTGGATCGCCCGGGGCGCGTGGTGATGTGGTCCCTAAACCCTAAACCCTACACCCTAAACCCTAAACCCTAAACCCTAAACCTTAACCGTGGTGTGCCCAGACTAGTCAGGACGAGCAGTCGGGGCTGAACAAGCTCGTGGTTTGGGACTCATCGTACGTGAACACCCTGTGAGAACTTCCGTTCCCGAAAGCTTGACCGCAGATGATATGGGTCTACTTGACTGAGTATAGTAATGCTGTTGATGTTTTTGTTGTACAGGATTCTTCGATATGGTTCTTTTAGGGATGTTAGGTATCCTAAACCCTAAACCCTAAACCCCAAAACGGCTTTCACAAGGCTCTAAAGGGTTTTCGGATTGTTTTGGGGTTTGAGTTCAGGGTTGGGTGCCTTACACTTCAGTTCAGGGTCTAGGATTAAAAGTCGTGGAAGTTTGAATGTCTTAGAGTACTCTTGTTTCGATTGCAGAAAGTTGATAGGGTCTAGGATTTCGGGCTGAGGGTTACCTACTTAGCTTTAGGGTTCAGGGATTAGGGTTTGGTCTTCTTAAGATTTTAGGTTTTGTGCGTGTGCATCCGATTGCTTCGGGGAGCCATGGAATAACTGACAACCTCACAAAAACCGGCGCGCAACATTTTCAATTCAAAGAGTATGTACATGTATTTATTATCAACGCTTCGCGTCGTCCGCCTCGGCCCTGCCGCAAACCAAGAGGGCCAACGAACTGGTGCCTTGAAGGCGCCGTTGGCG